TTGTGACAACATGTTGCTAATTAATCTGAAACAAACATTACAGTTGATTGATGCTGATTACTGCTTAACGATGAAAACATCAGGATGTGATTAGTTGCTGTAGGAAAGTTAGGGTCAATGCGTGCAAACAGAACGTCAATATCAATGAACTGAAAATTGGGGCGCCCGAAATGCAACTGTTCAGACACGAGGTATCACCAGGGGCTCCAAATGATTGAGGCACTATCAAAACAGCCCCGCGTGGTGACAATTGGGAATTCGGAGCCTCAACCCTTCGGGTTATGGCCAATGAAATTGTGCAATTTCATGCTGCGCCACTTCATCCGTACTTACACGTAAACTGCTCCTGGGGCTCTTTAGTAACCACTGTCCATCCACATGGTTCAAATAATTACTTGAAATATCACAATTGTGTTTATATTCCTCATGACTTTGTTTGTTATGCCATAATGGCGAGGCCAGTCACTCTGGCGTTGGGGAGGAAAACTATCACAAGATAGAGAGAGAGTAGCAGTGGGCTAGAGCGAGCTGGCGAGCTGGCTGCAGATGTGCCAGGGCCGCCAACACAAACTGAATCCTAGAATCAAGGCCGATTGCTAGAGATAGGGGTTTAGATGTCAAAAAATTGTCAGCTGAGTGGGGCGCTCGGTTGTCAGTTGTAGGGATTTTTCCCCCCGTGCTCGGAAAGGCCGAGAAAAACAGCGCCTGTAAAAGGTGCGAAATGGCTGCGGCTAAGACGATTCGACAACAAGGCATAAGGTGTGTCAGCGTAATTGGAAAACGTCAACTTGACAGCGAGTTTATTTACAGAGTTCGTGAGTAAATTGAGGAAATATCGAGCGATCTGGCACGAAACGGGGTGTTGTGGGGGAATTGAACGCGGCGCGTTGGTATAAGTGCGGATCTTACGTCAACCAATGAGAAGATAGAAGAAATTTAGGAGCATTTACCTTCAGCTGAAAATTGTTCCCTTATGTGACATGGCGTCTGATTGGAAAGTCAGTTTCTAGGCGGTTGAAGACACTGTTGCGCCCCCGATTTTATGAACGCAAACTGCGCCAGGGCTTGTCGAAAAAGCCGCCAACATTTCCCAGCCTATCGCATTGATGGTAATGCATGCAAGGAAAACACAACGGATGAGCGATGGGTATGCATTCCCTGCCTACTTTATTATTGACATACAGTTTTGCCCCATTCCAAGGCTTGGCCCTCATTCTAATTCCGTTTTTCTGTTTCTCCTTCAGGTACTTCGAGAAGCACCCGACCCATCCCTATCAGGTAAATATACGTTGTTGGGCCCAGCCCTGGGCCTGCTCGTCTGGGGGCGGTGTCATCTAGTTGGGGGGCTCAGTTACTGTCTCAAACATCACTCCCAGCTTTTAAGGGAACGATTCTATTAGTTTCCTTCAATTGTCCCGTTTCAGCCTTAGAGGCGGGTCTCGCACCGAATCAGACTCAATTCCCCATCAACAATGCCCAGTTTCGGCCCCAAAAACACCGTTTCACTGCCACTTCGATTCGATTTAAATGCCACAAATAAACATGGCTGACGTAGAAAAGTTAACCTACATTTTCCTTGTCTGCCAAGATGTTTGTTTTTCTTTTTCATTGGCGCCCCTTTAGTACAGTCCGTGTTTGAGGCGACAAAACGATCAAAGCCCTTCAATTGGCGCCCCAAATCGTCCCCTCGGCCCGCTGTACGTTTTATTGATTTTCTTTTGTGTATCTTGAAAAACTGATGAAGAAACAATCCTTTGGTTTGTTGACTGGGCCAGTATGTTTGCACCCTGGGCAAAGTTGGATGTGTTTAACCAGTCCCTGTTTTTCTTGGCTTGTCCCATTTAGAATTCAAAGTATGCAACTTCAAAGAGTTACGGGTCGAGCAATGAGCGCTACGAGAAGTTTCGCGACTCGCCGAATGGCACCTACCGATCAGACAGCCCGGAATCACAATCACCTAGGGATAGAGACCGTTCTTATCAATCCAAGAGCTACTTGCAGAAAATGCGCGAAAAGGAGAGAGAGAACAGAGACTACAAGATGTCGCGGGACAAGTACTCTGGTAGGTCAGAAATGGGCGTAACTGGGGGGCCCCAATTAACGGTTGATGTTTGCAGACTTGGCCAGGTCGCCGAAAGACAAGCGGACTAGGGATTCGGACCACAGGACCAATAGCGATCGAGGAGGCGACGATAAGAGCATTTTGCACCCCTTAAAGGTGGGCCAGTTGTCTTCGAGGGATCGCAAACCGGTGCATAACAATTGCGTGGACAAGGTAACGCCTGCCACGATTACAAATATGCCCTTTTTACGCCTATTGGGTCAAGTCAGCTGCGTTTAGAGAATGCCATCTTCTAGTGGTACCCAAAAGGAGAAGCCCCATAAACGCAGCTGAGCTCTAGATATGTTTGGGCTTGCTTCTACAGCTAAAACCGTTTTTTCCATTTCAGAGAGATGATCGAGACAGGGTACTGAAAGTAGGCGATTGGTCGGAACATGTAGAGCTCGKCGGAGCTCGTCAGGTAGTTCGATTAGCGGTCAGTTCGATCGTCGGGTTCGGTTCGAAGCTCAGCTAGAGCACTTGACCAATGCGCAGGCATTTATATCCGTAGTTCCAAGTTAAACTGCGGTCGCAAAAGCGGCTCGACCGGTCGCCCCGAGATGTTTTCGGTGTACATTTTCTTAATTAAATTATTTCCTTTTTATGTGTCTCCTCAAGTGTAAAACTATCATTTTTGTATAGCTAACCAAGTCGAGGCTATCTGTGGGCTTGTTCTTCACAGCATTCGATTCGTTCTGGTTGAATTTTCTGGCTTTTTACCCTTTATTATACGATTCTTTTGAATATTTTGTCATCACTACACCACACTACACCCGGTTCTAAAGTCTGCATTACCTTTACATGGATACAACATTCTAGCGAATCTCTTTAGTGTTTAAATAGACAGTTCTGCTGGGCGTGTTCAGGTATGCATCAAAACAACACTCGATTGGCAACCAATGCGGCAGAGCATCGGCATTGAAGGGCATTTAATTTGAAAAAATTAAACCGCTCCGTTCGAGTGGAGGCCCTGCCGCATCACCACAAAACGGCTCGTTCACAGTACCAAAAAAGCCCTTTTATTGTTAATTTAATTATTGTTTTTATACTTAAAAAGTAGCAGATAGATTGAAAAATAAAACATTTATTTCGAATAGTTGCTTGTTTCATTGCGTTCTGGCACTGTGACGCCCCGAATGCATCGAATGCTGACCAGAATGCGTTACACGAATAAGCGACTTTGTTAATACAAAGTCACATACATACGCATACAATGTTAATACAAAACCAATATAATTATTGGTTTTATGTTAGGATTTTAAGTAAATTAATACCACAATATAGAGTTAATTGACTGTCGCTGTTTTCCATTTCATTGCGCGCCCGAACCCAAGCCAGCCCCATTTTCATCAATAGCTGTTTATTATCACTGAAAAATATTTAAGGAAACGCACTGACAAACAAATAAGAGTTTTGCGACAAGACATCAATTGTCTCCAGGTAAAAAATCAGATCAAATTTAAAATGATTAGACGCTCACTCAGTCCTCCAAGTCGGGCTCCTCAGCTTCATCATCGCTGGAAACGCTTGGCAACTGCTTGATGTCGACCAGTTCCCGGAACAGCTTGTCCCGAAAGTCCCACATTTTAATCGTTTCATTATTCAGGGCTTTGTACAGCACCAGCGCGTTCACGGTGGCCGTGTTGACGATGGCGTCGTAAGCGAAACGTTGATACCTAAACCCAGAAGCTTGCAACTAACCGAAACTAGCCCAGTTCCTTACCAATTGCTTACCATTTCACCTGCTCGTTAACCGGGGAAGTGTTCACGTTGAATTTCTCGTGCATATCGAAAATGCTCTCGCTCAGTGCGATGTCTCTTAGAAATGTGGGCACTTGGCTCTCTTCAGGATTCGTGGTGCTTTCGCTTTGCGACTTGGCGGGCTTCTTCTGCGGCGGTGTTTCCAATGAATGGCAGGTGGAGATGCCGAAATATTCCACTCCTAGTGATAGAACTAGCTGCATTAACAGCAACTAAATAGCTGAGTGCTTGGGTCTTACCCGAAAGCTGCCACTTCATAATGGAGATCCCCTGAGGGTTTTGCACGCCGACCAGATCGCCGTCTTGAATGGAGCGCGACAGCAACTCCTTGGATGCTCCGCGCGAGTTCTTCCGAATCATCCCAATCGAGTGGCATTTGCAGCTCAATAGTTTCTCAGCCAGATCAAGACCAATCCACAGATTGTGGAAAATAATCAAACGACCTTGATTCAAAAATCCGTCCAGCACCTGCAGGACATCAGCCATTGTCTGCTCCCGTCGGCCGGCCCCAGTCTTCAATATCTTCGTTTTGTACGTGTACCCATCCTGATCGATCACTTTCAGGATCTTCGAGCCCTTCTTCACGGCCCCAAGCGAGGGTTCGAAGATATACTTGTTGCGCAGACATACGGTACTCCTGCCCACGTAGAGAATCTGGTCGGGTTCCTTGTACTTTCTGCGAACAATCCACAGTTGAATAACGCGCGCCCAAACCCCATAGAAGTCCTCGTAATCGCCTACCTGTAATTGGTGTTCAGGCGACTGATTAATGGGTTGATTTTTGCAAGGACGGTGTCGGAGCCTTCGGTTCCAAAGTGCCAGAAGGCCAGAATCCGATGAAAGCGAGTCTGTGTAAAAATGCGACAGGCCACTGACATGCGATACATGCGCTCGGTGCTCCAGTAGCAGGAAGTTTCTGAAAGAATCGGATTCAACTAAACGCAGTGGAATACGGCATCGATTACCAGGAAAGCGCTTAAAGCCCATAAATATCAGCAGGCCGAGGAACTGGCTCATTTCCTTGAAGTCCACATCCAGCCAACCGGAGAGGAAACCTTCGTGGTAGCCGTAGCGCACAAACTTCGATCTGGCATGCCTAAATGGAGCCAAAAAAACTTGCAAAGCCGCAACTAGGCTAAGAGTTTTAGAGCCATTACTTATTGGTTTCGATCACCATCAACTTGATCAATGCGTCGTCGACAAACAGTTTGAAGCATTCAAGCACGGTGTATTTTCTCTCAGTGTCCAGCAGCTGTATCCCAGGAATTCCGTTGTAGGTCAACGTGGTGATACGGTCTTTGGACATAGTCTCGCTCCACTCGTCGACCCTTTTCGGTCGGGCTGACTTCTGCTGCAAATCAAACCAGCATTTTCAGTCTCAGGGCACAAACAGCCCGCTCCAGTACAGTACTTCAAGCTCCTCTTCCTCCTCGTCTTCGCTGGTGGCATCAGAGCTCCAAACTTCGAAGTATTCCGGCTGGTCATCTGGCTCAAATATTTCGGATTTATCGGAACCAGCACTGTTGATCGGGGAGACGGCTTGGCGCTGGCCACCCCTACGCGCAAAACGTTCAAAAAACAGCCCCTCGATTTGCTGAAGGAACGGCGAACTCACCCAGTATTCTCGTCCTGATCCATTGGCTCTGGGGATTCGGAGCTGCTGCTTTCGGATTCTCCTGGATCGCCCTGGTACTGTTCTAAGGGGACGGGGTTGGTCATCTTATTCAAAATAGGGCTTATGCAGTCGATTGGCGATGGACATGTGAGAGGTGGGAGTTGGGATCTACTTACCGCCTAGAGCCGCTATAAGTACCTTGTGCAGTTAGTGAAAAGCTGGCGGATACCGGGAAAGGATCAGAAACATTGGTCGCATAAAAAACTTGTTTTTTTTTCAGCTTCATTCGCACTGACACTGAACCTCAAATTTCAGTTTACGCCACAGATTTTCAAACTATTTACTCTGTCAACTCCACAGATCACAGAGGTTACTACAGAGTCATTTTCTATTTATTCACTATCAAGAAAAACTTTCATAAAATGTAAATTGGTGCGAGTTTTTCAGGCTTTGCGACCGCGTGAAAAATATCGCCAAAAAAACGCCCTACTGTTTTCAATCGGCCCTGGTACACTGCTAATGTACGACACGAACAGACTGTTTATTCTCTCTCTTGACCAACGCAAAAAACGTCACCTTGAAGTAGGATGGAAAAGTTCATGCGCTTCAAAACATTTTAGTGTTCAGCTAAATTCCGGAAAAATTCACCACTCACTCCTGCCCATTAATATTGTCAACTAATTTGTGGGGCAAAATTCAATTAAATTTTTTGGTGTGTATATTTGACATTTATTTAAAAAAATCGAATACTTAGCTGTCCGCGCAGCTCCTGAGTTACATCTTGATCATGTGCAGCTTACGGTTCAGATCCTCGAACTTTAATATTTTCCGGATGAAAAAGTCGCCGTAGCGATGCGCCACTTTGGTATCGGCAATATGGATCATCTCATTGTCGATGTAAAAGTCCAACTGGAAATCATAAGAATGCCGATCCATACTAGTCTAAGCATAACAATTAACGCCTACCTCGGAGCCGCTTTGGAACTTGCCATCCAGGCCCGACGCTCCCTTCGACCACACCACGTTCTTCATCTTGTGCTTGAAGCACAACAGATGGATCAGCAAGCTCTGCGTCTCTTTGTCCAGATCCCACTGGCCGTCAGCGCGAGTGTTCTGAGCCATGAACGTTGCCAGCTTGCTCAGCGGCAGCGTCGTGTAGAGCTTCAAGTAGCTGCGGATGGTGGGCAGCATCTTCTGCTGTTGAACCTACCATTTCAACAAGATTAGACCAAGCTTGGCGACAACCTGGGTTTATATACCCACCTCATCCATGAAAACTTGTGTCTGATGCTTGATGGCTTCTTTGGAGACATCGTCGATGCCCGACACGATAGGCGTCGGATAGGGGGACAGGAACTTCGGGCAAGCGTAAACAAAGCTGTTTTCGAACTCCTTCAACACAAAGAGTTTAGGTGTTGTTGAAATAACCGCGGGGGCTTAAACCGGACGTACCTGCAAATCCCCGTACTGCATCTTGTACATCTTCTCGTGATAGGATTTGTCCCGCAACGTCTGCTGGATGCTTTCATCGATGCACTGGGGGTGCAAAACCAAGCAAATGGCCAGCAAATGGTACATCTGGTCGGTTTGCTTATTGATCTGGTCGTGCTGGTAGGTTTTGGAGGCAAACAGCTGCTTGGTGCGTTGGATATACAGCAAAATGCCCGAAAAAGTGCGAATGGCATCGGAGTAGCGGCGCATCATCATGTAGGCGAAGCCCACATAGTACGAAGTGGAAATCTGACACGCTGGAATATGAGCGTACTGGGACTTCTTATGCACCTCGATGTTCTCCAACACCTTGATTGCCTGGTAGTAGTCGCCTAAGAGCGAATGTAGCCTTAAGAGCCCTGAAAAAAGTCACTCAATTCACACTGGCAAAGTGGGAAACAACGGCGACAAACCAACGAGACTGAAGTATCCCAACATTTTGTAAAGCGAGTTGCGCCCAAACTGGCCAGCCACTGAATCCGGATCGCCCCCACTGGCATACACTTCCAGCTGCTGCTTAATGTTGCTCTTATCCACTAACGAGTGCAACACATTAAGCACGCACAGCACATTCCACACTTTATTGTTGGAGTTGAGCGTCTCCAGTTCTTGCTGCGTTTTCTTCTGCAATCGCGCCCGGTATTGGGAGAACGACTGAAACGGCAACCATTAGACAATGTCCCTTGGAGCGCAATTGGCTAAACCCACCTGGAATTGATAGACAAATTCGTCGATCAGCTCCCACAGCCACAGGTCAGGCAGTTCCAAGGGCACCGGCTCAGGAGCGCTCAGAATGTAGTTGAACAGGTCGCAGTAGTTATAGAAGGAGTTGAAGCGTTGCTCCAAGGTGGGACCGCCTTGAATCCGCGCGTAGATGTGTCGGAAGTACAGCTCCTTGTATAGAATGATGAAAACCTGCAAAAACCAAATTAGGCCAGTGAACATTTGGCCTGTTTCGTAAACGGCCAAGAGCTCTAGAAAGCATAATGAGTCTCCACTAGCCAACAGCTCGTAGTTGAACTAAAGAAAACCAATAAAACGCCTAAACGATGGTCAGGTCATCCAGGATCGATAACAGCCAACATTTAAATAATAGATGAGTCCAGCGAGACGAGTGGCAGTTGATTGTTCCAACCGATCAAGATGAACCACTACACCCAGCAGTTTTTCAGCAAATCCCAGGAGGTGAAACAGATGGTTAAGGGTAAGCTGAGCGAGAGCGGCGAGCAAGTGAAAGAAACCTTCAACAGTGTCAGCCAAAATGTGGCCGACATCAGGAACGAAGGTAAGTGAAAGAGCGGGCAACTTACCTCAGAGTCAGCACCCACGATTTTCAAAACGTCGCTCTGCTCGGGCCAGGGCCTTTTCTCAAAATAATCCTCGGTCAGCTTGGGCCATGACATCTCATAGAGGGTCTGCAGCTCGAAAACCAGTCCCTCATTCACATGGTTCCTGAAGTAGATCAGGAAGTTCTTCACTTTGTCGGGCATTGTGTACTGTTGGCGGCTGAATTCGGCGTCCTGATTGGGGTCCCCCGTGTGACCTCCGAACTCATCATAGCTGTTGTAGTCGTAATTCTGGAAAAAAGCAGCTAGTTTACACCTGCCGGCTGGCTGACAACGGCGGGTTGTCACGTAGTGTCACAGTTAGGGCGAACATGAGCTGTGCCCGCTTCCAATGGGCTTAGTTCCGGCCAAGCATGCAGGTAGGTGCTTTTTGATGATTAGTGAGCTAAAGGGGGCTTGTTCAGGCCTGATGAAGGTGAGTGCTTGCGCTTACCTGCTCGTATTCCTCGTTATATCCGGCCATGTCGCTTAGCCTCTAGTGCAGTTTGAGAAGCGATAAAAGAGGGTAATTGCGAAAGTATGTCTATAAACTGGGAAATTGTCCAGATAACCTGTAACGTCAATGGCAAATCGCAAATCTGACATCTGGCACATGAAAACTGAGTTTGGCTGGTTTGGCAATGAGGCACGCAGTTTCCGTTTGCCCCAGTTAATTGATTGAATTATTCACTTCGTATCTATTGGCCGTTTATTAGTTTTCAGCAGAAAACCGGGCTTTTTTCTAGTAATTTTTATAAAGAAATTGATTGGTATTGTTGGTTTAATTTGAGTGGACCCTCAAGGGTCTGAGCCTAGTTGCCAACTTGCCAAATAATTACAAAAATAAAAAGTGTCAAGTTGACATTAAACAATCAGTCATAACCCCATAATTAGTCGACAATTTAGAGCTAAATTGCGAAGATCAAGGTGCAAAAAGTGATTGGAATTCCTTCGAAAATCTCCCTCGGATTAATGATTCGCGCCAATAACCAGCCGTGCTAATCGCGATATCCTCAAACGTAGTGTTTGCTGCATAATTGATAAGAAATTCGCTTTTGTTTACCAAATAGCATCAGCACAACAATGTTACAGGCAGGACTTGATGGTAAGTAAAACATTGTGATGCTGGACATTTGGCCTTCTTTTGCGCCCCCGTTGCATTTTAAAGGTGGTCGATACATCAGGGAATAACGACATAATAAGTCAACAACAAGCGCTTATCCGATAAGTAAACTGGACGATGACTTTTTAGCGATAGCGAGCAAGCAAGTGTGCTTTTGTGCTGGTCTATGGGCTGTTTCACTTTGCCGTTGAATATTTGGAAGAGATTTGTCTTGCAGTTGAACCGACAAACAGTTGGTTTATTATATACAGTATGGCGTTCGACTCGACATTAAGCGGGTACTGGAGCAGAAAAGTTATATTTTCAACAAGCACCCACTGGCAGCAAATAGCGGGTTTTATATTTATAGTAGCTTTTCCAGGAAAACCGATCTATATTCTCGTGCTTGAGTAAATTTTAGAAAGTTGGGGGAGAAACTACAGAGCATCTGAAATTTATATTCAATGTTCCAGTGCTGAAAAGTTTCCTCAACTCTGAAACGCCGCCCGACCGCGTGCTGGATGTCAAGTCAGCCGCGTTTACCTCGCGAGAGATCCAGATGCGGGAAGACGGCCTGATCCTCTACTGGCCCCAGAAGACCAACAACCGAAACGAAAAGCCCACGTTCGAGATTGTTTTACATCGGCCCACCACCGAAACACTCGTCCAAACATTCAGGTGGGTTCCATCAGAAGATACTTCGCTGGCGCTTCGACTAACCGGTTTTTTTAACCAGCTTGTATCGCGCTAATAACCTGGAAGATGCCGAAATAAAGTTTATAGCCCTTCATGAAAAACTGCCCGTTTTCATTGAGATCGCCAAAGAGGTTGGTAGTGACCAATGGCGGCGCGTAGCAGTGCTTGAGGCCCAATTGTTTCAGATGTGCAACGTGAACGGGCTGCAGAAACTTTGCGACATCATCTTTGAGTATCCGAGCTGGACCTTGGCGCATATCGCCGCCTACTGTGCGCTCCACGATTGCTTGAGGAATCCCCAAGTGAACTGTTTCCTCAACAGCAGCGACAGCCAAAAGGGAATGTCGCCCTTACAAGTCGCCATCACCACTCGCAATCTTAAGACCGTCCAGCTACTGGTGGCATCCAATTGCTCGTTGGAACATGTGGACTTTGAGGGCAACTCGGTGTTTCATTACGCTGCCAGCAGCACCAAAGAAATTATCTCGGTAAGTGACTATCTGGTAAACTCAATATGAAAAATTAATTTTTGCCGAACACTGGTGAGGTATTTGTCGTGTGAATTATCCGCTGGCTTTGCAGACGTTGGCGCAGGGCTCTGATCCAAAATGCTTGAATTCGCGCAACAAGAACGGCTACACGCCCCTGCACATGGCCTGTTTCACCGATAATACCGATTGCGTGCAAGCCCTCCTGCTGGCAGGAGCCGATGTGAACAAGCAGGCAACTGGGGACGGCGACTACACGGAACCCTGCTACGTTGGCCTGTTCCTGCAGGACAACCCGGGAACTCTGGACCTGGAAGACATGAAGAACGGCGGCACGCCCGTGCATTGGGCCAAGTCGCGCTCCGTCATCGAAGCGCTGATTGAAACCAACTGCAACATCAATGCGGTAAACTTTGAGGGCAAATCCGCGCTTCATGTGATGGTGGATAGGAACAGGTATGTAGACCTGTTCGGTCCATTGGATGGCGGGGGCTTTGTGTTTATGTGGGGGCGCTTGCAGGCTGGACTGTGTAGTGGCGCTGCTCAGTCACCAGGCCAAAACCGAAATGCCCGACCTCAAAGGCAACCGGCCGATCCATTCGGCGGTGAAAAAGGGCTACTTGCCAATCCTTCAAGCGCTGATAGTGTTTGGCGCCGACCTGGACGTTTTGAATAATGCTGGAGAATCGCCCAGGCATGCGATGTCCAGAGGTTTGTCGCACTTTTTTGGCCACCAACACAATCAATTTGAACACACTGAACGATTGCAGAACTGGAGCCGAAACTACTGTATTACCTGCATGCTGTTGGAGCCCGGCGCTGTAGGGCCGACATGGTCGGCTGCACGGACGGTTGCAAGCAGCATGGCACTTACGATGGAATCCCCCCGCCAAAGGTAATCGGCCCAGCCAATCGAGACTTCCTAAATCAAATGCTAGCGGTGGCTGGGATGGAGGAGGCCGCTCGAAAGCACAAGCGGGGCGAGTTTCCGAAAAAGGGGCGGCTGCTCTGCTTGGACGGGGGCGGAATCCGGGGCTTGGTGCTCGTGCAAATGCTGCTCGAGCTCGAACTGACCTTCCAAAAGCCGGTCAACCGGTGCTTTGACTGGCTGGCCGGCACCAGCACTGGCGGGATTCTGGCCTTAGGTAGGGCAAAGGTTTTATTCCGCTTACCGATTTCGGCTGCAAACTCCAGACTATCTAGGAATCGCGGCCGGGAAGACGATGAAAGACTGCCAGTGCCTGTACTTTCGCCTCAAGGAGAAAACGTTTATCGGCGGCCGGCCCTACTGCAGCGAGAACCTGGAGAACGTCATGAAAGATACCTTTGGCCCTGAGACGGTCATGTCGGACATCAGATTCCCGAAGGTAGGGGTGCCGGACTCTCATTCCCACATAGCAAAATTATATTCCCAGAATATATATATACTAGGTATATTCACCTGCACATATACACAATATGTACATACCTGGCATGTTCATCTGCACATATACCCAATATGTACATATATGTACATACCTAGGATATACTTTTTATGAACTTTGATGAATATACATGCATGTATATTCCATAAACATTCATGTTAGGAATGTTCCACCATGTATATTGCCAGGATATTCCCGCATTGTTCCGTATATTTTTTGAACATTCTGGGATATTCATAGAATATCAAATGCTATCTGAGTTGGACGCTCCATTTGACTTCGAACCTCTAGGTGATGGTGACGGGGCTGCTGGTCGATAGGAAGCCAGCCGAGCTGCATCTGTTCCGCAACTACAACAGTCCAGGCAACATTCTGGGCGTGAAACATGACTCGCCCTATGAGCTGCCGCCGCCGCCCGAGCAGCAGTTCGTTTGGCAGGTGGCTCGAGCCACTGGAGCCGCTCCCACATACTATCGGTGTGTGCCCCGCTATAAATTCGCCAACATTATATAATTCTTTGGATTCCAGGCTGTTCCAGCGCTATTTAGACGGCGGTCTGATTGCGAACAATCCCACTTTGGACGCCCTCACCGAAATCCATGAGCATTGTTTGGCGCTGAGAGGGTGCGGCAAAGAGGATGAGAGTTGCCCGGTCTCGATTGTGGTCAGTCTGGGCACAGGTACTAAAAGTGAAATCGCCCGTTGTCCATCATTTAGGGTGATGTTGTTCGCTTGCAGGAGTCATCCCCGTCACGGAACTGAAGGAGGTCGATGTATTCCGGCCGGGATCCATCTGGGATACCACTAAAATTGTTCTAGGCATCCAAAACTTGGGCACTCTGCTGGTGGATCAAGTAAGTAAGGTTGGGAATAATGAATCAACCCTGCTCTCTCATTATGGATTAGGCCACCAGCAGTGACGGAAGGGTGGTGGATCGAGCGCGCGCCTGGTGCTCCTCCTTAGGCATTCCCTATTTCCGATTTTCTCCTCAACTGTCCGAGGACGTGGCGATGGACGAGAAATCGGACGAAAAATTGTGCAACATGCTGTGGGAAACCAAGGCCTACATGCACGAGAACATGAGCGTGATGCGGGAACTGTGCGATTTTCTAAACCGCAGCTAGAGCTTTTACCTCCTGGGCTTACCATTTGTTGTGCTATTATTAATTATCCATCTTAGGAAATTGAGCCATTGATTCTTTCATTCCATGACATGTAAATTAATTTCTTTAACCGGGGATATAAACATGAACACTCCACCTTAGGGCCGTTTTTATCCAAATGGGCCCGAGCAGTTCAAATGAATTGCTCCTTTACGCTTAGGGTATTATGAACGAGCACAATAAACCATCAAGATATGATAAATATCGAGTATTTTAACAGTTAGTGTGATTTGGTGATACGGTGCCCGTTGCTAACTTTTGGGGGGAAAAACCTGGAAAACCGTGTTTGAATAACGATTGGCACTGTACGAACCTTTCTTAGCTACTCAGCCAAATTATCGTTCGTTTTGTTAAGTTTTAATTATTTTATTTCATCACTGTTTATTAATTAATTTATTGGTTAGATTAAATATATTAATGTTGCTGATATTGACTTTTTTTAATCAATATTTCACTCAAGTCACTCAAGGGCGGATCCAGGGGGGGGGGGTCATGACCCCCCCTATCCAATTCTCTATCCAACGATGCCAAAACGAATTCTCTGGCTCGAATGGTTCTTGAGAAACTTCGAATAAAGACCATTTAGTTATCTCTGGAATGATGTAAAAACGAGCGTTCTTATTGGAAACCGACAGTAAAAGACGATAATTAAAAAATGGCAAAGTCGAAAATCTAAGTAGTCCTATAGGAAACGACAATAAAATAATAAGACAGTAAAGCAATCAGGATGACAACTTTGTTTTTAAATCAATTGATGCCACCCTATTTGATCGTCGGATTTGAAGCCCAAATTTGCGTATGTGGTCGCCCTTAGTCGGCATATAGATGAAGTCAACTCAAAAATGCGACGTTGTCACTAGCCTTTCATATTTCTGTTACGTTGAAGGTAATCAATGGACTATTCCGAAATTAAATTAACTTTTTAACATAAGTAAGCAAAAGGGGTATACACAATTAATGTTTTGCAAAATTTATTTTGACTTTTTATTAAAAGATTTTTTAAATAATGTCTTGCGCTCCGATGACGTCACCTACGAGCCACTTCTAGCACCTGCCTTATGCTATTTACAATCCGCTTCATAGCAAAAACGGCCGTATGAATTGTGGCGTGTATTGTGGATTTTAACCGTTTCCACACTTTTATTCGTCATACTGCTTGATATATGTTCTTAAAGCACAAATAAACACAAAATTCCCTTACACCCCGACAATGTGGCAAGGGTGTGCCAAAACCAGTTGTCACTTGGCATGTCACAACGTGTCACTTCGTGGCAAATGTTGCGGTATTTTTCAATATTCCCCTTCAACAGTGATTTGTTGATGTGTATTACGTGTTCGGTCGTGGCATAAGGTACCAGTTGTCAGGCCCGTTCCATTGGACTGCGATAATTCCACAATGGTCAAGCCAGTGAGGAAATCTGCGAACAAGAATCCGCCCATTCTAAGTCATGAATTCGTTATACAAAATCATGCGGATATCGTATCTTGTGTGGCCATGGTGTTTGTTATAGGGCTGATGGTGCAGGTGAGCAACCCTTTCATTATTCCGTTAATGAAACACTGTCAGTTAAGCGGTGAATCTTAAATGCCCAATGGGGTCCTCCACCATAATAAATAGCCCCAACTAGGGCAGGATATGATCAAGTACACTGTATGCTTCTGCTGAGAGCCTGCCCTCTGCCCAGCGCGCTTCAACTGTCTTAGGACAATGTCAAATGGACAACATATGGGCCCCTTTCACTTGCTCTTCCTGAGCTCTACAACCAACTAAATCTGTCGCATTAACGCAGATTTGTTTTAGTTAAAGTTGCCTTATTTTCCAGGCAACTTCACCTTTGGCATCAGTTTTCATAATTGCACATCATAATGTGACCGGCGAAAAACCCACAGAACTGCCGCTTTACTTGCCCGGACTGAAAGACAGCGCAGTGGTCTTCTTCTATAGCTTGATCTGCGTGATCGTGCACGCCATCATCCAGGAATATCTATTGGATAAAATCACTAAGAAACTTCACCTCTCCAAGTCAAAGCTGGCTGTATTCTCCACTAGCGGCCAGCTGTTTGCCTTCTACCTAATATCAGCCATCTGGGGCCTGGACATCGGTAAGACTAATGTCTAGATCTAACCGCATATGTCTTCAGGTGATCAATTAAATTGCAGTCTTGAAGGAGCACGTCATTCCTGATTTTTCGCGAATATGGTCCGAGTATCCAGCTCCCATGTATTTCACTTTCAAAATGTATCTATTGATCCAGTTGAGCTACAGTTTGCACGAGCTGCCCGAGCTCTATTTCCAAAAGGTCAAGAAGGAGGAGTGGACAAATAAAGCTCTCCATAGTCTGGCTGGCTTGGTGCTGGTCGCTGTGCCCTATGCGCTCAAGTAAGTGTTTGCGTTAAACATTCGAAAATCTGTTGCTAAACCCAAATTTTGCTTGTCCAGCTTCAACCGGCTTCTATTGGTGTTGCTGGTGCTTCACCATCTGGCCGAATGGGTCTTCCATTTGGCGCAGCTGCTCCAAACAGTGGACAAAGAGGAGAAGTTCTCCAGAGGTTCGTCCCAAATAACGTCACCGTAATCAATCATTCATCAATCTACTTCTAGTGGTTAGATTGTCGTCGACAGTCCTGCAAATAGTCGCTCGACTTGGCAGCATAATCCTAGCTGTCTTGACCTTATGGTATGGGTTAGCGTTGTTGGAAAACCAGAGCCTGGACATTAAAGCCGGCCAGTTCAACACCCCCACTATTCGATTTTCCGCTCTAGCCGGCATTATTTTGCTGCAAATGTACCTGATTTTCAAAGTGATCAGTCAGGAGATTAGCAGAAGTCGCGAGACTGTTGCATCAGTGCAGCCCGTCCCTAAGTCAAAAGTTGCCAAGAAGGACAAGCCAAAGAAAAGTAAGTAGCGGTTAATAGGTGGTACAAGCAACATACTTATAGTGTATGCTTTCAGCAAAGAAGACTGAAGAGTCAGATTTGCCCGAAGTGGACCAAAACACGAACAAAACGCTCAGGAAGCAAAAGGTCAAGTAATTGAGTGCAGCTCCAGTTTTCACTTCACAGTAGGTTTTCAAGGCGAAAAATCTAAATACTCTCGGCTTGTTTTACGCTCTATTCAAATTCTCTCTTTTCAAAGGTAATTTAACACTACCTTGATGGCCTTTTTGTTTTGTTGAAACGTTTTATTATATACAATATTTGTGATTATATTTTTGTGTAAGAGACTAAACAATTCATATCCTATTTATGTATTAGTTTAACTATTAGGTCGTTTGTCAATTCCATCCAATTTTTTTTAAATAAATCGTTTATTAATATTTGTTGTGTTTAGGGCTGATATGCCATTAAATCCTTAGCCCGATTTATGTCGTGAATATTGAGAAATCTTGAGAAAAATTACGCAAATCTTCATTAATTAATGTAAGTTAAATCGGTATGTTCGAGTGAAGCCAAATTCACAGCCAGCCTGCTTTTTTCGATCGCAACAAAATGCCAAAAAATGATCCTCCTCAAACGACTAATTCACCAGCAATAGATTTACATAATTGAGGCATTTGTGCAGGTAAAATTATGAAACTAGAAATACCTGCTTTTGAGGATCCGCCATTTTGTCGTCAAGCTGTCCTGGTTAGCTGCTTTATACCCAAATCCATAATAATGGAGAATCACAAATAACACGTTCACATTAATCACCTCACACTTAACAACACTTTCATAAAATTTTCATCACCAACGTGGAAAATCAGCGCATTCGCCGTTTTCGATTTGCACAAACGCATTTCACCAAAATGGAGAAGAAACCTTACTTGTCTCTGGCTATTCTAAGTACTGAACAAAATGGCGAGCCGCAATGGAAAGGTTACCAATCGATGATACCAAAATCCCCAGTTTAGAGTTAGTAAATACGTTGCATCTTTGTCTCCAAATAACTCGTTATGACTGAGGGTATTTTAGAATAATAACACGGGCCGTAAAAAAATCTAGCTGAGTGTTGAAAATATTTATCAATTTTTAGCCAATATTAGAAAATCAAAATAGATATATAAAGCAAACATTAAACAATTAATCTGGAAAATCATCTGTAAGCTAGACAAAGACAGTTCTACTATTGGTCGATGATTCGCGCTAAGCGCACCAACAAGGATAACAACAAAAATTAGCTGATGATTATCCAGGATAGACGAGGGAAGGTATATTAGGGCACTGGACGGTGCTGTGGTTGTCAGAACAACGATCAGCTGTTCGCCCCGAACTCGGACTTGTTTTTGACAGATATCGTCCGGGTGCGAAGCAATCTCCCTTTCCGTAGGTAATTTTCGCAATTCCCTCGAAAATATCGCTATTAAACTGACCGCAACAGATTTAGCAGGGATATTTTCCGATAATGAACCCCTAAAAGCACCTAATTATCCGTTATTTAAATGCAGTTAACGTTTGCTTGCAACGCTTTGTTGCTTCAAGACGTTTTTAATTATTTCCGCGATTAGGTGCGAAGGCATTGGTTGAACTTGTTCATTTGTAGACGTGCAGCTGAATCAGTAACCATCCAGCCATCTACCCAACATGCCCAGCTCAAATTCTAACCTGCGGGAGTTTGCTGCTTGAATCGCCTTTTATCCTCTCAGCGCTCGCACGATGTCTCACCCCGACAATTTCTTCGAGAAACTGGAGTCGGGCAACAAGGAAGTGGTGGAGAACATCAAGCACAGCATTCGGGAACAGTTCTCCAAAGGTCAGAGCGGTTTGCCATCAAAGTTGAAAACATCATTCAACTGATGGATGTTCCCCTTTCAGTTCACGAGTCCTGGCTGATCAACGGGCTCTACGATTATTACTTGTCCAGCAACTCTGTGCGCTGCATGGAGGTGATTATCACTCTACGCGAACCCCATCAGCAGTTCCTCTTCGACAGGTCAGTCCTGCCAGAATCCGTGGCCGTTTGAGCAGTAGCCTTCCTGTTTCAGACTATGCGAGTCCATCAAAAGCCGCAAAACCGACCTAAAGGTGCGCATTCAGGCCCTCACCCTGCTGGGGCATATTGCCAGAAGCCAACCCACCTGGCTGATAACACTTCCTGAGCATGTCCTGTTTAGGGAGTTGCTGAATTTTCTTAAGGCAAGTCGTTGCTGAATTGCCTGGGTTAGTTTGAAACCTCGCGTTTTTGCAGAACGAAACTGAGCTGTTGCCGCTGATCAGTGCCCTGCTGATCCTGATCGTTCTCCTGCCCATGTTCCCTTCGAGCATTGGCGAGCACTACTTAGAGGAGATTTTTGATATTTTCCGGTCAGTGGCAGGTTTATGCGGGAAACCGTGTGGTGGAGGTTTTAATTTTTTTGTAGGCGCCTGGCGGCTTGGAACTCCAACGTGCCCGGAAAACTGGGCGAAGACCAAATGATCCACCTCCAAGTGGCGCTGTACGCTCTGTTCCTGCGCCTCTACGGCATGTACCCCTGCAACTTCCTCTGCTACCTGAAGAGCCACTTTAAGGACCGCAACAACCCAGTTTTCTACCACACCATTAAGGTACCCCCCCTTACTTGCCTGCGTGGTAGTGGCAATAATTTGCTGATGTTTCAGCCCATGATGGACACTGTGAAGATGCACCCATCGCTGGTGACTACTTCGAAAGAAAGCGAAACTACGACGGAAAGGCCAGTTTGCCGACTGGTTATATGACTGATCTCCTAAGTGACTCTTGGGTTTTAGGTGGAAGAAAATGGGGGTGCACGACGTTATAGTGGAGTGCGAACGGTTCAGTCTGGACATCACGGATCGCTGCCCGCACGACACTTGCCAGAACACCACAGAGTTCCGCTCTAGATCGGGCACGATGAATTCAATGGGTGGTTCTACATCGAATGGTGGATGCGCCCAATTTGAAGGAAAGCCCATTATAAACGGGTTATTATTGCAGATGCGGCCTACCATCAGCAGAACATCCGCAGCCTGGCCTCTTTGCAAATGTCTGGGAATGAGGGGTCGTTTTTCTCGCCCAGCCAGATGTTCCAAGTGGTGCATCCTTTGCCGATGGGCGACGCCCATCGGCAACGACCGGTAAAGGATGTGACCACTAAAATGCCAAGATAAAAATGTGGTTTTCTAGGCGCTGATCAATCGAGTCAACTACCCGCTCAGTCAAGAAGGCTCGCCGCCTGAAGCTGCCATAGAGGCCACGCCCGAAACCACTCCCATACGGGTAAGTCGTAACTTCTGCCCCCACTACCCGGGTGTTGTTCGGTGTTTTGTTTGCTTTGCGCCTGTTTGGATTAAGGATTATCTCCTCGTTTCGGCCGTCATTCATCAATCACGCCACGCCTACGCTTTCAGGACTTCACTACCAATCCCGGTCCGCAAATTTTGACAAAAACAAACGTGGCACGCGCGCTGACTTCGTTTCGAAGCAATTCGAGCGGATTCGCCCTCAGTACCACGCCGACCAATAGCGTGCCTTCGTCGCCGATGCGGAAGGAGCCGTCGCTTTTCGTTTTTCCCGCGGCCAATACGGGCTTTGCCTCAATCAGCCAACATTTGGCGCATAAGCTGTCGCAAGAGCGCCACGCCACGCAGGTGAGTCTCGGTGATTTGGGGAGTCAGTTTTGATTGGCTATGCACCTACCTGGTTGGTTACGCTGCGCTTGTCTATAGGGCGGCGATGGGTTGGGCGGCGCCAAGCCGCCTCCTAGCAGTCCTTTGAAGATTATCAACTCGGACCAGTCGAATCGGCAGCGATTGGACTCGCCCATCAGTCAGGAGGACGAGGAGGTGTGCACTATTTCCAGCTCGGCCGGCAGGCTGAGCGTAACCAGGAAAAGGGCGGACTTTGAGGAGAGTAAGCGCCTGAACTGTAAAGACGATTAGGTATCATATTGTATTTGGTTAATTATCAGGCGCGAAGGACGGGGAGGAAGTCGAGCAGGGCTCGCCCTGTGCGGTCGGGGGCCTGCACATGCCCAACTCCAAGTCCATTGATAACTTCAAGAAGAGAATTCGCCGCTATCGCTACCACAGCCAGTGCAACACTGAGCCGGATCGAGTGGAAACTTCCACGGGCAGCAGCCCGGGAAATGGTAATTAAACCGCTAATATAAATGAACAAAGCCGCTAATGAGGCAAAATAGGAATCTCGTTTGCGACGACGAATTTGACGGTGAGGCGCGCCAACTCCTGCCCTGACATGAAAAAGAGCCCGCATGTGCCCGCGAAGGGCAACAAGAGCCGCCCCTTCTACGAGACGGACGAGGAGACGTTGTCTGGTGACCAGGCGTCGACTCACTCCAACGGTCTGGACATGAAGGCAAAGAAAATGGTAAACCTGCACATGATTTCGTTCTCTCTAAACCGACTTTTTGATGGCTTGTTGCAGAATTTCCCGGTTACCAGCTCGGCCACGCAGACCGAAGTGTTCTGGCCGATGCCCTACGAGCATCTCTTCCTCAACATATTCCCCTCCCTCAAGGAGGAGGCGCCGGAAATGAGGCCCAGCTCCACCCCCAGTCCTGCGCCAGCCCTCCACCAGGGGATGGAGCCCTACAAGCCTTCCCTCTACGACATCTTGGACAAGTAGGTCACAAAATTCATTAATCCAGGGGGACTAAGCATTTTTCCGAATGAAACCCAAGGCGAGCCTTACGGAAGGTGAAGCACGACAGTGCAAAATTGACCAAGTCGCTCAAATCATCTTCAACAATTCATAAAAACTACACCTTTTGTTCGAATAAAAGCAAATTTACTGCGAGCCTTAGGCAAGGCGTGTTGTTTCAAGGCTGCCACTCGTTCTAGATACATTGAGAACTGTGTGGCCACAGTGGACAGTAACAACGCGCTGAAGGATCAGCTGCAGCTGATCTATCAGCAGTTTCTCTTTGAGCGGCACCGTCGAGAGACGCATGCCTACCGCAATCGGAGGCTCCTTTCCGATGCCAAGAACACCAGACTGCTGGAGGAGTACAATTCGGCCTTGGTAAGTTGAGTGAAACTCCAATCTGCGTGCCAAAGTGCCGTAATGTGTCGATTTAGAGAGACCAAGTGCAGCTGAAACAGAAGGAAATCGACGACCTGCGCAAACAGCTGGAGGACTACCGAAGAGAAATGATGGACGAGCAAACGACGCTGACCAGCACTATGCATTACATGGAGGACAAGGTAAGTGATGATTGCTGTCCATGCGTTGGCCCTGATGAAACCTTCTAGTGCAAGAACTTGACTGATGAGAACAGCATTCTCCGGGAGAGCAATCGGAAGCTGGAATCGGACATCGTCAACTACAAGACGAAGTGTAATCACGTGGATAAGGAAAGACAGCAGGCCGAGGCTGTCCTATTGGACGCCCTTGCCGAAGGCAAGGTGAATATCCCAGCCCTTTATTGCTTGCCGGTTTCTCACCCAACTATCACTAGGTGGCAAGAGAACAGGCGCTGGCGGGCGAAAAACTGAAACAGGAGCTGCAGCGCGTCAACGGCGAGCTGCTGCTGATGGGCGAGCTGCACATCAAGTACCGCGAGAAACTGGATCAGTTGTCTTCCAAGAGGCAGACCGAGGAGGAGCTGCGCCAGCTCTCAGAAACCTATCGAGAGGAAGTGAAAGGTACTCATTGCTACTAAGTGGGGTGGGTGCTTGATGGGTTTCCTCCGTAGTCCTGCAGCGAGTGATCGAGACCAAAACCATCACAATTGAGGTGTTCAGGGCGCGAATCAACGACCAGGAGCATGCGGCCAGCGCCAAAGACGAAACAATAGCAAACCAGAAACGCCTCCTGGCCGCAGTGAATGAGGAGCGCGAGTCAATGGTAGAGGTGAGTGTTGACGGGAAAAAACCCACCGCAACCTAACTGAACAATTGGATGATTTTCCAGGCTGTGGAGAGCAAGTATCAAACGCAACTGGCGATCAATCGCACACTAGAGGAGCGCCTTTTGGAGCTGCGCCAAAGACTGGAGCTGGAGGCGGCCCGCCGCCGCACTCATTCGCCGGACACATCCAGCTGTCACGAAGTGCAGGCCTCATCCACCACCACCACAGCGGCTGGAGGGCTCAGCCCTCAGCACTCTTCGCCGCTATCGGCTTCGCTGGCCTCTTCTGAGGGCAGCGCTGCCATGCACGAGCTCAGAAACCTCCAGGTGTGTAGCCGCCGCGCCCCAACCCTCAGTTGAGTATAGGCGGACCTTTTAAATTGCAGATGTACGTGGACCAGGAGAGCGGCTCCAAATCACATCCAGCAGATGAGCGGACGAATGTTGGCAAAAACGACTGATTTTTCACTAATGCTATTCGTTCTATTATTAATGTGAATTAAGTATATTATTTAGTCTTCTAAAAGTAAAATCAGCGAAGCCGCTGGCGTTTTATTTGGGGGATTGGTGGTTGACGCCAAATACGCGAATTCGGGTAATTTTCTAGTTTAGTTACTCACCGGTGATTAACTACACTATAAAATTGCCCGAGAATCTGTAATTTCACCCATTACCCAACGGATCTGGATCTGTTTTGTTGCCAAACTCACCCTTGCAATAGATAAAACCGTGTATATTCAAAAAAAAGTCACAAAACACTCATTTTTCGGCCTACCCGTATTACGTTCCAATTCTCTTTCCTGGCACCATCATGGGAATGTCCACGAACATTCGCGAATGTTCATTAGCCCAGTTCACAAACCGCTCGCCCAGACTTGCCGCACTTAGCGCCAGCATAATCACGTCTTTTTCCGCCTGATGGGCATTTTCAGCTACTTTATTGGTCAGCCTCTGGTACACGTCTTCTAGCTTGTAGCTCACTCTATAAAAGACCGAATAAACTCATCAATGCACCATACAAGAACCAAATGTCACGCCTACAAAGGAGAGTAAAATATTTCAAAATTTTATTAATTACAAAGCCAAACATTAATGCTAATGGATCCTGCCCATCAAAGAGTAACAAAAGATAATTAAAAATACCGCGTAAACCAGGTAAAATGAACAAGCACGTCTAAACTGGGATTTAAACGAACGTTTTAGTACATTGCCGACTTTACTAACTAAAACAAGTAATTTAACAAAATCAGCTTCACGATCAAATATCGAACAGCGGTATTAATCTTAAATATTTCAGGCAAGTGCGCCTTCAGAATGCTCTGCATGAGTGAAAACACTTACCCAAAGTCTAGTTTCTTGCGGGAATTGACCAGCTTCGGTCTTTTGGATGTGACACGTTCACTGAACGACTCCTTCGCCTTTTCGTCAAGTAAGTCCCCCGATCCCAATCTTTCATCAGACCGATGCGGCGTGGTTTCATTGACTTTCTGTAGCTCCAGTGCCCGTTTCAACCCCGCCCGAGGTCGGGCGTCACACTCATCCGCCGCTTTGCACAACAGGGCGTCAAAGTCGTCTCGAAACTCTAAGGGAACAGCTGCAGGCTCGGGCTGCGCTGTTGGCTCAGGTGATGCGACGTCCAGCTGCCGAAAGGCCTCCAACGAATCCACGCATACAACACCTAAAAGCCCCAAATATTAGCCACTTTCACGGGACTTTGGTTTGGTCCTACCATCAAGCAACTTCTGTCCTTTCTTGTCAATCTCCGTCCTCAAAATGGGGTAGTCAAACTTATTGCCGTTGTGTGCCACCAGGCAAATCGGCGTCGGGTTGTGCTTGAGGAACTCATTGAGGGCCGTCACGGTACCCTCACTGAAAGGGCTCAAGTACTCCAGGGCTTCGTTTGAAAGCCCTACAACACATTGTGAATGCTTCGACTGAAGGAACATTGCTCTGTTGTTAATAGTGCAATTACCGGTAATTCTTTCACTATCATAACTGACTAGTTTTCTGGGATTGAAGCACAAAGTCAACTTGTTCTGGACTCGGGGCAAACACCCCAGTTCCAAGTGGTCAGCTTGGATCGCCAGTATCGTCAGCTCGGTGATTTTCGTTCTGTTGAGCTCCATTGAGGGCAAACCGGTTGTTTCCAGGTCGATAAAAGCAAAAGTCTTAATTTTTGCCATCTCAACCCGACTGTGTGTTCTGACGAAGAAGCCGAAAAACCGGGCAAACATTGCATTTCAATTATCAGTAGTATGATTTAAGTACATTTTAAGATTAGATTATTATTGACTTAAAATGGAAATTAGAAATAAACATGCCAAAAGTAAATAAGATGAGACCGATGAGACCAAAGTGAGGTTAATGTAGTATTGATAGACGCCACAGATTATCAAACTATTGGCCTACGCAACAGGAAGTGTAATTTAAACGCCAAACGGAGAAGGAAACTTAACCTGAAACCTTCAAACGTTTAGGACGAGACGTAAACAAATAAATGATTAAAACCGGAGGTAAAACTAATAATTAGCCTGTGATTCTCTTTACATTATGGCAAGTGCTGTGGTTAAGCCGGAGACGGCCCCTGAACGTAAGTATGCTTTTGCTTTTTAAGTTTTCGCATATCACTCCAAAGTGAACATTATTCGGAAGAATGCTCAATGTTCCAGATTGTCCTGGGACTGAAAGTGACCAGGCTGGCAAGGCATCAGCTTGCGCCGGCTGTCCCAACCAGAATATTTGCTCTACTGCTCCAAAAGGACCAGATCCTGGAATAGCTCAAGTAAAAGAAAGGTGACTATGACTCAAAAGGATAATACATAGGTTCTAAGCATTTGCGCATCTTTTTAGCTTACAGGCAGTAAAAAACAAGATACTGGTCCTCTCAGGGAAAGGCGGGGTTGGGAAAAGCACCGTCACTGCCCTTCTCAGCAGGGCTCTAGCTGCTAGTGATAGTGAAAAAAATGTGAGAAACTTACTCGGTTGTATCTGCTCCTTCTCATGGCCAAAGATCATAGTTATATTAATTCTGTCCCAAACCCTTTATCAGAATATGGTTTCTGAGCTGAAAATTTTATGGGACAATTGTTGCTGATGTAAAGTATAACTGATCTTTCCTGCAATTGGGCAAGCGATATTATTTAATCACAAACCTGGCTAGTTACAGGCGCTCCCTTGAGATTCTCATAGTTGTACTTGCAACCACATGAATCGGCACATACAGTCCCAGGGTGTTGACTAATGATAATATTCCAGCTCTAATATTGATTGCTCTATCGGTAATTTCAAATAAATTTGTTTTTTAGATTGCCGTATTAGACATAGACATTTGCGGTCCATCGCAGCCAAGAGTTTTAGGCGTCCTTGATGAACAAGTACACCAATCGGGCTCCGGTTGGTCTCCAGTGGTAAGTCATCCAAATCAATACTAGAATCCGTTTAAAGTGTTTTTGAATTTTTAGTATGTGGACGACAACCTTTCCGTTATGTCAATAGGGTTTCTTTTGGACTCGCCAGACTCCGCAATCATCTGGAGAGGCCCCAAAAAGAACGGAATGATCAGGCAGTTTCTAAGTCAGGTGGATTGGGGCAGTTTGGACTACTTGTTAATGGATACACCTCCAGGTTTAGGCTACTAAGTCATATTTTCTCGTTTATGGCAAAGGCGTGTTTCAGGAACATCGGATGAACATCTTTCGGCTATAACCTACTTATCGCAAGCGGACTTAACTGGGGCTGTAATCGTTACAACTCCCCAGGAAGTTGCTCTATTAGATGTGAGAAAGGAAATCGACTTTTGCAGGAAATCGAAGATAAATATCTTGGGAGTGGTGGAGAATATGGCCGAATTTATTTGCCCCTGCTGCCAAGTAAATCCCTTTATATCAGATTCTGGTCAGGGATTGATGCTTGAATTTCCAGAAATCCTCCCAAATATTTAAACCTACAACAGGAGGCGCCAAGAAAATGTGTGAAGACCTGACCATTCCGTTTTTGGGAAGTTTGCCGCTGGACCCGAAAATAGCCAAATGTAGTGATGAAGGGAAAAACTTCTTCGAAGAAGTGCCTGATTCACCGGTGGTTAAGGCCATTGAACGTGTAGTCGAAGGTATACATAGAAAACGACTCAAATGTATTCAGCTGCATTACAAAGTTCTCTTTTAGGGCTAGTGGCAAAATGTGATGAGATGCACTAATTTTTCCTGAATTAAATCTATTGTAATGTAAATTGGAAAATCTTATTTCCCACCTTGCACATTATGAGCTCAGCAAACAGATACCAGTTATCTTGATCAAAAGCCTCTTTTAGCTCTTCAAGCTTGTCGCTGAATTGTGCTAGATATGGTTCCAGTTCCTCTTGCTTATCATCAGCACACCAAGCGATGCTCATGTGAAAAGATGGATTCTAAAACATAAACATTCTGCTCACGTTTCAAATGGTGAATAAAATGCTCACTTTATAGAAAGTGGGTAGCTCAAAGTCGTCCAAGCATCGGTCCACTGCATCAACCAGTTGAACAAGCGTGTTGTGTCCGCATCGAATTTCCAGGCTGATAAAAGTTCTGGTCTTCTCCTCATTGCAGTAGACTTTTAAGCCATCAAATAGAATAAAAAATCTGCAAATATTGCAGGAGATAACCGTTGGATAACAGCAACCCGGCAGTGATTAGTACTTTTTGAACGGGTTTATCCTATCCTTTAGAGTCTGCACAAATGAACTGATCCAATGGAATTTGATGACCAAGATTTTTGAAAGACTGATGTGAAACTCGTTCGAAACATGCAAGTTGAGACGGTCTGGCACTAGTTCTTTGATAAAGGAACATAATTCTCTCACGCCTGACGTTTCGGTAACTGAAACTACATAAATTAGCGGGTAATTTACATGGCTCGCTTGAACCACTTGCATGGAATGTAAACAAATACAGCCCAACATCCACGCTCGTGTGGAATAGTGCGAATTCTCCCATCGTGCAAACAGGGGTCATCTATATGCTCGACCGGCTTCTCCGCCACGAATTGTTCGGGAACTGGCAGTCTACAAGGACCATAATTATTGCCAATTAGAACAGGGATGTTTAATGTAAACCTTGTACATAGTTTTTTCGAATTTTCCGGTCCTCGGTCCTCATTAAGAGACCTTTTCGTGGATACCCGCGGGCCCGGTACTTCGTCTTCTGATGATTCACTATCGTACACGTGAAGCAGCTGCAACGAACTTACAATAGACATTTTACAGTTTGCTTTGTGGTTTTATCAAAGGGTACTTAGTTAGTCTATTGTCTTTTATTGTGGAAATACGAAATACTTTCTGTTTATGTTTATGGGTTCAGAATTATCTTTAAATGTTAGGTTATAGGTGAGGATCCTGTCCAAAGTGTCCCATGAACCTAACCCTAATAATCTAATTTTTTATGAATTTAAAGTCTTTTTAGTTCAGGAAAATGTATCTAAATGAAACTGTATAGCTCCTATGCAGTAGGCTCTTGGTGAGAGATCGAAATCAAATCCATCGGAATAAAGTTTGTTTGCCGCCAAATTCAGCTCCATATTGGTTCAGTTGTTTGATAGGCAAATGACTAACTGTTAACTTGTTCTCCTCGTCTTTCGCTTGTGATTGAATATAGCAAACAGTGATTCACTTCCAGTCGCTCATATTGTTTACTTTGCTCATTTGTGCCTTAACTTGTCAAAAACCCTGTTTTGGCGGCAGTCTGGTCATAATATAATTAGTTTGAGGTTTCTAGTGCGGCACGTTGGTTTTAAGAAACAATTTGGGGCGTTTTCTTTGGATTATATTGCTCTGCGACTACTACGTTACAGGTAAGCTAGTACTGCAGGTATTCTCTTGTGGGACTGCTGTAGTTTTCCGTTAGCCTTACCTATTTCTTTATAGATCTCTGCACCATGCCTGCTTTTGGAAAAGAAAACGAACTTGGTGACCTAAAGCCCCTCACTATCAATGTGAAACGCATTGTTCTATCACCGAGCAAATCCAATATCATAGATGAAGCAAATGGGAAAAAAGCTATGCCCATTCAGGATGGACAGGACTATCAAGAGTTTGATCCTGAACTAGAGCCGCTGCTTAGGGAAAACCCCAGACGGTTTGTCATCTTCCCCATTCAATATCCAGACATCTGGGAAAAGTACAAGAAAGCGGAAGCCTCGTTTTGGACCACGGAAGAAGTGGACCTATCTCAAGACCTCGATCATTGGAATAAGCTGACAAACAATGAAAGGCACTTCATATCGCATGTGCTGGCCTTTTTCGCAGCATCTGATGGCATTGTGAACGAAAATCTTGTGGAACGATTCAGCCAGGAAGTGCAAGTAACCGAGGCTAGATGTTTCTATGGGTTTCAAATAGCCATCGAAAATATTCACTCTGAAATGTACAGCATGCTGATTGAGACCTACATCAGCGATCCTGTTCAGAAAAGTTTCTTGTTTAACGCAATTGAAACACTTCCCTGTGTAAGGAGGAAAGCGGACTGGGCGCTTAAGTGGATCAGCTCCAAGACGTCCACATTTGGAGAGAGAATCGTCGCTTTCGCAGCTGTCGAAGGAATATTTTTCTCTGGCAGCTTTGCTTCGATCTTCTGGCTTAAGAAACGCGGCTTGATGCCCGGCCTGACATTTTCAAATGAACTGATCTCCAGAGACGAAGGATTGCATTGTGACTTTGCCTGTTTACTATTCTCCTATCTCGTTCAAAAACCCTCCAAAGAAAGAGTGACGGGCATTATTCGAGATGCAGTTGTTATCGAACAGGAGTTTCTGTCGGATGCACTGCCTGTTAGTCTTATCGGGATGAACTGCAAGCTCATGTGCCAGTACATAGAATTTGTGGCTGACCGACTGCTAATGGAACTCGGTTGTGAAAAGGTTTATAATGTCACTAATCCGTTCGATTTTATGTCGATAATATCTACAGAGGGCAAGACCAACTTTTTCGAAAAGAAGGTCGGCGAATACCAGAAAGTAGGTGTTACTGGCGAGGCCGGAGATAATGTTTTTACCACTGATGCTGATTTCTAGATATTAATGTACTTTATATTGATTAGTGGCAATTTTATTCCATTTTTAGTTAAAAAACCTGTTTTTACATATTTCGTTCTGAAAAAATTGGAATTGTATTTATTGATAAGAATGTGCACATTTAAATCGTAAGACTGTCTCACTTTGTTTCAGGGTTTCTCCTTTTAGTTCTAGAATTTATAGTTATCAATTGTTTATTACCAAAAATATAGCATTAAGTGTATAAGTGATTGTTTCTTGACCGATGGACGGATAATTGAAAAATGTTTTGTCTTCGACCCAATTTTCAAGAAGAAACAACCCCTCAATTATTAAGTGTTTACCTATATTAAATGGGGTGTTCAGAATGAGAATAGCCCAACTCCAAAACAGATCACTAAAGAAATGTTAGTGTTATTAATTGCCGAAAGTAATTCCCATATGCACCATGGAACCAATGGAAAAATTGAAAAAAGTGTAATTAACAATTTCTATTATCAAATTCATTCCTGGGTTTCAGTAATTTTTTGTCTCTATTTATCAATCAAAATACGTTTCGATGTACTTTTCCACCATCATCAGTTTTTATGTGTAGCGTTGTTGCTGCTTTACGCCTTGGCATGCATTTTTCTCTGCAAAAAAGTCATTTATTGTCTCTATCAATCAAAATACGTTTCGGTGTATTTTTCCACCATCATCAGTTTTTATGTGTAGCGTTGTTGCTGCTTTAAGCCTTGGCATGCATTTT